GGTCATCAAAAACAGTAAGTCTGAGATGTCACACCAAGAGAAGCCTAAGGAGACATGACAACTAAATGTCATATGATATCCTGGATAGTATCCTGGACTACAAAAAGGGGTATTAGGTAAAACTGAATCTGAGTATAGACTTCACTTAATAATAATGTATCAGTATTGGTTCATTAATTGTAACAAATGTACCACATAATATGATGCTAATAACAGGGGAAACTGTATGGGGATCTGAGGATGATATATGGGAACTCTGTACTATCTGCTCAATTTGTCTGTAAACCTAAAACCATTTTTAAAAAATTAATCTATAAAAGTACAATTTGTTTGGGGCAAAGACATAAATCTTCAAAATGAAGGAACCTAAGGAATGCTGAGTATAATGCAAAAAAAAAAACATTGTGCTTCATTTCCTTGAGTCTGAATCCCTTCCTCTCATATTTACTGCATACTTTTTCAGGGGCTCTCATCTCACAGCCTAGGGCATGAGTTTAGACCCTCCCTCTGGCCTTGGTTCTAAAATGTAAGCTATGTGTTCTTTGTAATGGTAAGAATATGCAGCAAAAGGACACAAATGTGCATTTTTAAAGTTCTCTAATTCAATTTTGAACAACTCAGAGACAAATTTATGAGATTTCAAAACTTGAAAGTGAAAGAAAAAATTCACAAAGCTTTCAAAGAAAAAATAATACAAATGAAAAATTTACCCAGAAAGGTTCCAAATCAGACTTACATCATACATCAGTTAGAACACAATGGAGCAAATTCTAAGGAAAAAATATTGTCAATCTTGAATTGCATGAGAACAAAAGATATTTTAAGCGCCTGAGAATTTGGAAAGTTTCCCTCCCACACTTCTAAGAATTACTCAAGAAAATTGTTCAACCAAAAATATAAGTAATCCAAGAAAGACTACATGAGATTAAGAAACAGTAAGAGCTGAGTCTGTCCCATATAGGGGGTTTGGGCAGGATTATAAGGGAAGAGGCTTTATTACATCTTGAGGTTTGAAATTCTCCACTCAACCATGATGTTTTTATAAACATTTCCTTTTCTGTGGCTCTAATCCCACTACTTGCGTCTACATAAAGTGTTTATATATAATCATTTGTGAATTTTTCATTTTTCCTTTTGAAGTATGATTACTGATATATTTGGATTTCTTTTTACCATCTTATTTTATGCTATTTACTCTGCTTTCTCTATGCTGCTGCTTTTCTGCCTTCATTCATGTTTTTATGCTTATTTTTATGTTTGAAATGTGTTTGTTCACAAGTAGCAGTATTTCATGTAGGGATTGTTCAACTTTTAATATGCATGCATACTCAAAGTGTGAGGTTTATCAACATGTTTTCGAATAGAAGGCCTTTATTATCACCAATCCAAATATTCCAGTTCTACGTTTGTTTTATTGCCCTTCCACCCCCAAATAGAATTACTGTTTTACACATGCAGTGTTGGCCTAGAATTATCCACTGTTGTGGAGATTGTTGGTGTCCCACTGAGATCCCTTTCACTGGACCAATATACCCATTGCCCAGCTGCAGTTTTTGCTGCCAATGACTGACCACTGGACCATTCTCCTGAGAACCACTTTTAGCAGGACACTGACTCTCTGCCTGGGAGGTTACCCATCCCAGCCCCTAAGGGCAGACTGCAGCCAGGGCCTGACCTGGGGATACAAAAAGCCAGCTCCCTTGCCTCAAGGGGGCACAACTTGGTGGTGCCAATGGTATATTAGTTTTCCACTGCTGCTCTAACAAATGATCACAAACATAGCGGCTTAAAACAGCACAAATTTATTATCTTACAGGTGTGGAGGTAAGAAGTCCAACATGGGTTTCTCTAGGCTAAAATCAAGGTGTCAGCAGGGCTGTGATCCTTTTGGGAAGTAATAGGAGAATCTGTTTTCTTGCATTTTCCAGCTTCGAGGCCACCAGAACTCCTTGGGCTTATAGCCTTTCCTCAATCTTCAAAGCCACAATGTAGCATCTGTCTGATCATTGTTCCATAATCACGTATCTTTCTCTGACTCTCTTCTGCCTCCCTCTTCATCTTTTAGGGACTCTTGTGATTACACTGGGCCAACCAGGACACTCCAGAAGAATCTCTTTGAGATTTGTTGATTAGCAACTTTAATTCTATCTGCCACCTTTGTCATGTAACCTAACGTATTCACATGTACAGGGGATTAGGACGTGAACATCTTTGCGGGGCAGGGGGTGGGGTGGGCGGTGGCGCGTTATTCTGCCAGCCAGTGCCCTTCGTGCTCCAGAGTTATTCGCAGGATCAGACTAAGACTAAATTCCTACTGAACCCACATAAAGGAACCTATAGAAAGTTGTGTCCTTATTCAGCAGTGAACATGTCATAATAATGCATGAAACTTTAAAAGAATTTAATGAATTGTTACCATAAGGATGCGAAAAGGAAGGTGTTATACAGCTAAATGTACATCTACCACAATTGGAAGTCCAAATCAAATCATTTATAATATAAAGTCTAAGAAATATGGTTATAGTAAATACCAAGAAAAATAACTAATATAATTGAAACTTCTCTAGGGAAAAAGCCAAGTTGGAGAGAGGTGGAGAAAAGAAGTGCTCCTTTTTGTAGAAGACTTATTTGTAGCCAAGCACTATTTGACTTCTTGAACTATATGCATTATTTTGATAAAAACAAGTTAAAAAATAAATTCACACTGAGAAGTGACTAGTGGTTACTATGGCAGAGGGTTTGAGGTTTGTGAGTGGAGTGTGAGGAGGACATAGGAGCACAAAAATTCCCAATTATAATATAAGTTGGTCACAGGAATGGTAGTACAGCATGGAGAATACAGTCAATAATTCTGCAACATCTTTCTATGTTGATAGATAGTAACTACACTAGAGTGGGTTAGGATTTAATAATGTCGGCAACCACTGAACCACTGTGTTGTACCAACGTAAGATTATATATCAGTAATACTTCAATTTAAAAAAATGGGGGTAAAAATAAATCAAAGGAGACAAGCTTCAAAATCTTTTCTGTTAATAAATAAATACATTCACCGAATAAGGCAGAGAAGTCAAAAAGAAAAAGTCCCCCAAAATCGAAATATCTGATTAATTTTAAATCCCTATTCCTCGTTCTAAAACAAAAATACTTTCTTAACTTTAAATTAAGATATACTCGCTATAAAGACTTCAGATGACATAAAAATGTTGAAAGTACAACACAATACTATACGTATACCAACCTCAGAGATTACCTCTATGAACATCTATGTTCAGACATACCTGTAAGTTTTTCAGAAAAGTGGCATCATACTACTTGTAATCTGATTGTATCACTAACATGTGGATCTAAGTCAATTTGTACAGCTTTACATACCTCTTAATAATTGTACGGAATCCTATAATTTGAATGTACCATTAAAAGTAATAATAATTTAATAAAAATCAGGAGGCCAGAGGGTGGCAGGGAAGAAGTATGCTTATTTTCTACATCTTTAATTATAGCAAGTTACTATTACAGCAGGCTATTACCTAAAGTTGGTAAATAAGGACAGAAAATGTGTATTTAAAATAATAAAGGCATCTATTAGAAAAGCTAAAATTAAATTAGCAATAAAAAAAAAAGAGGATGTGTACAAAATTCCATATCTTTCAGAGTGAACATTCAATATATACTATCCAAACTTGGCAATAAAAATAATATAAGTATAAATATACTAAAAATATACATATAAAAAGAACTTTTAATAGTGGTTGTCTCATAAAAGGGGATAAGAGTGGGCACTTATATCTTTCTGTCATCATAAATATACTCAGTTTTTATACAAAATACACATGTGTTCATACACAGGTAGAAAAGACTCCAAAGGCTACATACCAAAATATGGACAATAATTACCTTTAAGGACATCTTATTACAAACTTTGTATATATTCCTTATGCTGTCGTATTCTCTGTAATGAACATATTGCATTCATATTGCATTTGAAATAAGAAAATACATTAAAAGCCATCTTTTTTTGTGAAGGGGCTGTGGAGGGCTGTTAAGAATAAAAAATAAAAATCAGTCAAAATGTCCCTATCTATCTTCCAAAGCCTAGGCCACAAAATATCTATATTCCATATAGTCCAGTTTTAATAAATCTTGCAAACAGCCCTTATGTCCTCAAACATAAAAATCCCCATTTAGACAAAAGCAGCTATAGGCTTTTCATTCCAACCAAGCCCTGCCAAGTCATTTCTGATGGAGCCTGAGATTTACCAGATTGCTACACACAGGTTTCCTATAGGTTGACACCAACTCTAGCACAGTAGTATGCTTTTCCCATTACTTGTCCACTCATTCAAAACATTAACTGAATGCCTACCGAGAGCAGAGTATTACAGAGTGTGTGCTGCAAGTTAGAGATTAACACATTCGATGGCCTCAAGTGGCTTAATACCTACTGGGAAAATGGCATGAGGCAGAACAGAGAGGAGAGTCTGGAGCGCACTGATAATATTTTGCATGTATATTTTAACTGTTTTCCAGCAAATCAACAGATACTTGGAAATGTATAGCTAAAATGAAGTGCTACCATTTTTAGTTTTCATCATGTTTGAACTCTCAAAGTAGTTATACCTACTACTTATTTGTCACTAAATCATATGTCAGGTTCTCCTATGTTAGTATATAACTTTTCATATAGGAGTACTTTAGTCTCTATTTGATGGCATGCATTTTTGTGCCCCCACTTTCCTAGTGAATCACCAGTAGAACAGACACTATAATATTTCCACAATGAACAAAGTGGGCCAGCTACCAGAGCTCTCCACAGTAGCTTGCCTCTACCAGATGAAAGCAGCCCACAGATATGGCACACAGAAGCACAGCCACAGTTCTACCTATTGTAGGGTATTTTTCCCTTTTAATTCCACAGCACTGAAAAGCTTGGCAAGGCAGAAATAGAGAAAAGCTCAAAGAAGAAAAAAGCGAGTATTTTTAAGCAAAATCACTTCATAGTAAGAAAATCAGTTTTATTTAGCATTGTATCTGAGGCACCAATGAGAATAAAGAAGCTGAAGACCAATCCCACATTCAATTTTAAGGAGTTTTGTGATAATAAAAGCACACAGACCATAACCAATCTTGAAAGAATGAAATGCCTTATGTTTAGAATACACAAAATATACTATGGGGACTTCCCATCGAAAGGTGGTGGTCTGAATATCTGCAGTCTTTGCAATCTGAGGACTCCAACACAGGTTCTGCTTTTCTCCCCATCCCAATTTAGAATTCTATGGACAAAACAAACAATACAGAAAGCTCCTCTGGGCAAAGGAGCCTCTGAGGGAGTGTGATGTGGCCCTGAGAAACAAGCCAACTGGCCTACCGTTCAACCAACACAATGCTACCGAAAACCTGAAAGTCTTGGCGCTTACATCTCACACTACATCAAGACGATTTTTTAAGCTACAATTTCCTGATTATATAGAAAATCACGGTTCTTGAGACAGTGAATTCATAGTATACTACTGAGTATTTTTAAATGATTTTTACCTCTTTGTGAGGAAGGAGACAAAGTAATAACTAGGATTTTTAGAAACGAGAAAGGTGTTTCGCTCCAGGTTAAGAAAATCAATGATCCAACTATATGTACTCTCAAAATACTTAGTTCTGCTCAAGCTTTCATGATAAATAAACTAATAAAAAAATTAGATGCTTATATACAAGAAGGTATTTTTATAACTGTAGACATCAAAAAAAGAAAAAGAGCTTTGGACATGGAGTAGTTCCTTAGAAAAGCCTTCTGTGAAACTGTTTACTACAGTCATTGTATAAGCAAAGGGAGACCTGCAGGAAAAAACAATCTAAAAATTGGTATTAAATCTGTTTAATATCTTTAATAGTTCTATTATTTCTAAATCCTTCCACAAAAGGGCATTATAGCTCTTCAGTTTGTTGCCAACATACATTAAAAAAAAAAAAAGCCATAATGCTGAAGCTATAATTCAAATTTTTAATTATTGGCACTATACTATAGAGCACAATGAACATATTTAAATAAAACAAGGGTAATATTTCATTGGGGAGTACATCCAACATATTTTTTTTCAGCCCGTATCTACAGCCAATGGTGATATTTTTATAGACTAATTTAATTTCTAAACAAATGCAAATTTTAAAAAAATGACAGAAAGCCATGTTTTGCTCAGGAATACTATTATACACATACCATATAGGTTGTTTTACAGCAGACATTAGTTTGCCAAACTTCAGATGGCAAAACGCTAAGCTGTGAGCTTGGTATTTTCCAGCCAGTTGTTTCTTGATGCCCTCGAGTCTCTGGTGGTGTGTAATATTGAGAGACCACCTTGTTGACACACTTCTCAAAGGTGACTCCACTGTGATATAACACTGATATCCTTAAGATGCAAGACCTAGCAGAAAGCCTCCCACAAACCCGCTGGATATCACAATGTTCTGTTTGACAAATTCTGTTGCCTGAAACGTAAGTTTAAACAAAAATACTCTTAATTATGGTACAACATGAACCTCAAACACATTGGGCTAAATGAACTATACAGACCAAAAAACACAAATATTGTATGACTGTTTACATGAAAAGTCAATTCACTGACACAAAAAATAGGACAGAGGCTACCTAGGGCTGGGGAGAGGGATTAATTGTGGGAGTTACTGCTTACTGGTTAGTTTTACTTTGGAATGATGAAAAAGTTCTGGAAATGGATAGTGGTAATGGTTGTACAAAGTGTGAAAGCACTTAATGCCACTGAGTTGTGTGCTTAAAAACAGTTAAAATGGTAAAATTTTATGTTATGCACATTTTACACAATTAAGAAAAAAAATGCAAATTTTTAAAAACACTCTTAATGAATCAGGAGCTAGGTAACATTTCTAGCTGTTTACCTCAAACTAAAAAATATGCAGCAAAACTTTGTGTGCATTTACTACTGCAGGTGCCAACAAGCACACAAGATGCCAGGTCTGTCCCTTATCAACTGAAAGAGCCTGGGGCCCCCAGCAAGGCCCGGTAAGCTTCTTGGCTACTAATAGGTACATGGGCAGCAATAATCTCACAGGTGAAAAGAAGTCTACTTTTTTAGGGCAGACATAAACAGTCTATTCAGCAAGTTATTAACACAGGGTAAATAAATTCCCACAGCAGGCAAAATATTTATTAACAGTCCATTTAGCCAATAAAAAAGGTACAGGATCAGAAAGATATCACCCTGGTGTTATTGTTTAACCCAAATTAAAATCATGAAGAAGGGATTAGACAAAGCCAGACTGTAGGATAGTTTGCCTAGATGCTTCAAAAATGCCAGTGTCATGAAAGATGGGGGAAAAAAAAAAAGCAGCTGAAGGGACTATGTAAAATCAAGGCAGACTTCACAGACACACAACAACCAATGCAATATATAATTTTTGACTGGGAAAAAACAGTATGAAAGATGTTTTGTAGAAAATTTTTAATATGGACTGTATATTAGGAAACATTGTTGTATCATATTAAATTTGGGGGGACTAATAAGGGTAATTGTAGTTGCAGAGGAGAATGTGTACTCTTAGAAGGTATCTACTGAAATATTTAAGAGTGAAAAGCCATGATGTCTTAAACAGTTTGGAAAAAGAAGTATAAATCACACACATATACAGATAAAGCAAATGTTGCAAAATGTGAACAATTAGGTGAATAGGTATTTGGGTATTCACTGTACTTGTGTTTCAATTCTTTCAACTGGTTTGAAATGTATCAAACTAAAAAGTTGGAGGAATTAAAAGGATGGAACAAAAAGACAAGAGAGTACGCACTTCTAAACAGAGTACAAAAAGAAAACCAAAAAATATATAAAAATAATTAATAACTCTAATTTAATACACAAACACTTTCAAACTATTCCACCTCAAGAAAAAAGTAGGTACTTTTAGTTTTACCACACATTGCCTACAGTGCACATTTATAAATGCAGAGGAAAAATTCTGGAAAAATGATGTTATCAGCTTTTACATGCAGATCAAAGTACATGGGAGATGGGCAGGGGAATCTATTATTAACAACAACAAAAAATTGACTGCTTTAAATAACAGCTTGATCCCCAACTTTACTTACCACTCTAGATAGGACCAAAAATACTAATTTATTTTTAAAAGAAGATAATCCCTAGTTACATTTTCTGCTAAGCCAGACCCATTTAAAAAAAGGAGCCAAAGAAGTACATTGTCTTACTTCTTCAATTATATTGTTGATTTCAGGTGCTGCCTTATTTGCTCGTTTCTTAATCTGTCTTTTCGCTTTGTTTACATCTTTTTCAACTCTCTTCCAGTCAATCTGCACATAGCCACTGTGACTGGCAATCTGCAAAAATGTAATAAAAGTGGTTAATTCTAAACCAACTAGACTGCTGATAAATTTATCACCCAGGAATATACAAACATTTAGGTTTCAAGAAATCTGTAAAGCTTATAGTTGAGAAATCCCAATTTATCATTGAGCTGTACACTAAAACTTGGATATTTTATTGTATATGACTCAATAAATAAATAAACAGACACGACACCACAATTTATTCATTTAATAGATACTGAATGTCTACTCTGTGCCAAGCACTGTTCTGGTCCCCCAGGCTGTAAGCAAGAGCAAGGGAGACGTAAGTCCTCACCCACAGACAGCTCCAGGCCCATGAGGAAAACCGGATAGTAAGCATAACCATTTAGTTAGATGTGATGAAATTTGCTGCCAGAAGGAGAGAGCTAGAGGAGAGCCCCAAATTCTATAGTACATGATGGAAAAAATTCCAAACACTGTATTATTATTGTACTATAATGCTATCACAATTTTTGCAATTTCAAAATTAGCTAAAAAGACACAAAGACTAGCCAAGTTATACAGCTAATAAAAAATGCCTTTTAATTAAATAGATGTTTAATTACAGTAGATTAAAAGCCAGTCAGTCATTAGGTCACTAAAATCTAAAGTAGCCTAAAAACTGACACTTAAATTAAGAATACTTTCAGGTAATTGCTTTTCAAAGTGGAATATAAAGGAAAATGCTCTATACGAGTTTTACATTATAAATCCTTTTAATAAAACTATGACTAAATACTTATTAACCATAAGAAAAACCCTCACATGGTACTACTGAGACTGCAAAATATGAACAGGAACAATAGTGTGTGTGTGTGTGTGTAAACTAGTACAGTATATTAGGCCTTCCAAACAGTAGAACTGAAATATAAAGAATCACACAAGGAGTAAACAATTAAGCTATATGTACTATTATAAATCATTTCAATCAAGCTTATGCTTTCTTTGTAATCTTTTTAAGGTATCACTTTGAACCACATACAAAATAAGTAATAAAAATATCTGATTTTATATAAATAGGTTGACAGGGAATCAATCTTAAATTCCATTTTCATTGGGAATGACCTCATAGAAGAATTTATTTATCCGAATTTCTTCCTGTATTTGTTCACCTATTATCACTTCAAACTCCAGCCTCACCAAAACAGAGTGGTGATCAAATCAAATGGCAAGTGAACATTTTTCCTGGTGGCAACTGACATGTCAATTTAGGTTGCAAGCGTGGAGGTGATGAACCTTAGGCACCCTCCCACAGACAGCAGCTACAAACACTGGTTAAAATACAGGAACTAACAAAAGCAAGATTTTAAGGAGAGTTGAAACTGGTAGGAAAGGACCAATACAACACAAGGTGACCATTTTTCTGGCTTTATCCTGAGTGCAAGATGCAGTTGCAGGGTGGCTAAAACTTCAATAGAAAACATGCCATCTTCCTGGCCTGAAGAACCAGAGGACACAGCCCAGGACAATAACAGCTGCCAGAAGGAGAGAGCTAGAGGAGAGCTCCAAATTCTATGCATAACCTCTCCCCAATTCCTGAACCAAAGATTCATGGAGAATCAAGCATTTTGGCTAAAGCTAAAAGAAATGAACTGAAATTTGAGATGCTACCCACGACAGGTGAAACAGAGTTTGCAATTTGAGTCTAACCAAGTTAACTACCTGCTGAAATCAATCAATACTCTTCACAGGAATAAAGCAGAATCCAGAGTCCCTACAAAATAACATTCCCAATGCCCAGGATAAAATCCAATGTTATTTGATATAGGACAAAACAGGAAAATGCAGCCTAGTCTCAAAAGAACATCAACAGATGCTAACCCTAAGAACACCAGATATTGGAATTATATTAAAGCAGCTGTTATAACTATGCTTAAAGAGGTAAAGAAACTATAATCATAATCAATGAAAAGGTAAATAATCTCACTAGAGCTATAGAAAATATAAAAAGAACCAAATGGAAATTCTAGAACTGGAAAACACAGTATCTGAAATAAATTTACTGGCTATATTTATTTCTGTTAATGGCAGAAGGCAGATGACAGAAGAGTCAATGAACTTGAAGCTAGATGACTAGAAATTATACATCTGAAAAAAAGATTGAAAAAATAAATGAACAAAAGTTTGAAACATTATCAAAAAGTCTAACATGCATGTAATGTTCAGAAGAGGAGAAAAGGGATATAGGAGAGGACATGTCTTTAAGGAAATGGCCCAAACCTTCCCAAACATGCTTAAAGACATAAATTTACAGATTCAACTTCAGTGAACTCCAGGTAATGATGCAACACAAACACAATTATGAAATAACAATACTCAAATGATTGGCAGGGGGGTGGGGGGAAGAAAGCATTCAAGCGTCTGAGATGGATGGGGTGCAGAAAAGTTCAATAAACAATAGCTAAATTCTCATACTCCATAATGAGAAGCCAACAGTTAATACCTCAAACTGAAAGATCAAGAAATGTCCAATTAACTTGTTTAGGAAAAAGGAGATAAATACCTGAACAATCAGCTAAGAGTTCAAAGTAGTTGCCTCAAGGAGGGGGAAAATGGGGGGCTAGTGAGGGAGGAGGAGGATTACTCTAATCTGTAACAAGCCTCATACAGGTATTTGACCCTTTGAATTACAGGCATGTATAACTCCAAAAAAACAGAAATAAAACTTGAGAGATTCATATACTACTGTCTATTTTAAGATGGCAGTGTGATCAACATCTACTGAAAACTTAATATCAAGTTACCAGAAAAGTCTTAAGTTCTAAATAGACTGATATTTATCTTTCAATATAAGTAAAGGTAACAAAAATATGGAAGTGGGCCTAAAGAATAATAGGCAATTAGCCTAAAAGCCATTTGTTACTCTTATTTCCTCTTTCAGTTTCCCTCTAGTTGAGTTTTCAAGTTAAGTCACATTTGTGAGAGAAACTGGTTTGATGCAGACAGACCCCATGTTCTCCTGCTTGGTGACTTCACAGAATATGTGGACTACCAGGTAGAAGCTGGCAATGCCAAAATGTGGACTTCAATGGTGCATACTGAGTAGACTGAAATGGAACTTTGAAAAACTGACATGCAGAGTGAATTGAAATGTGTAATTCTCTCTACTCTGTGAACATTTTAGTTAACTGCTTCAGTCCAGTACCCTTTCCACTAAACAGAAATGACAACTGAGTTTTCAAAATAGCTATAGAATTAAGTATGTTCTTGATTCTGTATAAACACAAGTCAAAATGAGCTTAAATAAAATTCTCTTCTGTACAAATGCTGGCATATTCATCCAAAGGACTAAATTTAGATTAACCACACTTCTTTTTACCTCTTACCACAATAAGCAATTACTCCTAAAAATGCCACTAATAGAAAGAAAACATGTATTTTTAAAAAAGCTATTTAGTAAACAACTCAAAATCTGCACTTAACACATAAGAATCCAGTCCCTTTGCACTTCCGTCAATGACACTGGTTACTACATGAATGGCTTAGGTGCTGAAGTCAGATTCTGGTTACTATGACCATTAATCATTTTAAAAATCTGGTACAACTGACAATTCTCTGTATCTTTAAAACTGTTGCTAACATTCATTCCCAGAGATTTTTCAATTTAGGGATTTACTATACTTAATCTTCAGGGAATGATATTTTTGGAAAAATATATGCCAAATAGACACAAATGCCAGATAATATCCTGATAAACATCATCTAACAGCAAAGCATTTTTAAACCTTATACTTAGAGGAACATGAACAAAACTAAAACTTCAAGTCCACCTGCCTCAGAAATAGGATAATGGATGATTTTTTTAAACCCAATTTTCCACCCTCTGCATTATTATGGCTCCCTAGTTTTAAAAAACATGTTAGAAATTGCGAACAGCAATTTCGTCTGGGAAGGAAAACTGTATGGCTAGGAAACAGAAAAGGAAAGAGACCTTTTGAATTCATACACTCTGTGTGAATTTTAAATATATGTGTAAAATGGTTAGGATGAGCAGATTATATTATTGATGAAGTGTTTATTTTACTAGGGAGATGATTTAAGGGCAATTTAGGTAAGTAGTCACAAAAAATGAGACACCTCAAATTTTAATAGTTGTGTTTTTAATAGCTGGGATCAAAATATGCCTAAACAACTTATTTCTGTTGTCTTTCATGACAGATGCCAACTTTCAAAACTCATTTTAGTTTTTCCATGAACTGATGTCTAAAAGGAAAATTCCACCTTCTATTAAAAAGGACAGCAGTGAAATGGCTACACTTGGCTTTCTCAGAGATATGTATGTAAGCAGCAGCAAGGACCTAAAGCTCTGACATACCTGAAGAAGAAGAAAGCCACCACCTACTGCAGTTGCTGCAAGTTTTCCAACTTTCTGGAACAAAAATCCTGCACACCTTCAATGAAAGAAATAACAAAAGATAAGAACAATCAATGATATACTAAGCTCTCTCCCTTTTCTCCTTTTCATTGCTTTCCTCATAAAATCTTAATGTCTTCTGATTTCTTTTGATTATGTCCCTTCCCTGCTCAGAAACCCGTAATGTTTCCCTTCAGTTACATAGGCTAGTCAAAAGGGCACAATCTAAATTGTCTGTACTATGCTTCGAAATAAGGGATGGAGAGAAGAGTTGGGGAATTTATAGGAAAAAAGACTGGCTACTGAAATTGAATGTTGAGTACTCAGGGGTTCATTAGATTATTCCTTCTACATTTGCAGAAGTTGAAATTCCCCATAATAAAAAGTGGTACGTTTTGTTAATACAGTCAAGATGTTTCACACACCAGGCCAGCCCTACTACCCAAACCTTCTGCTTCAACCCAGTTAGTTTCCAAACAGGTCATCACCATTGCTCAAGCTATTAATCTCCCTGCTTCTGGGGGATTCTACCCAGCTCTGCCTATCTAAAGCTTTTCTACCCTCTAAGGTCCAGCTGGAGTTCTACCTTCATGACTACACTTAAGCCCACATTTAAAGCCATGAAATAGCTTCCTTACCCACATGTATCTATGTCTATATTAAAGTTGTTTTGTCTCTTCTATCCTGTGAGAATGTCAGCCCATACTACTTTTATGATCAATTATCTCCATCAGTGAGCTCATAGTCCCTTCAGTATTCCAGATCCATACTGTGCAAAAGAATCCCAGATTTCTAACTCTAACCTTTTGTACTAGGTTGAATAGTATCCCCTAGCAAAATTCATGTCCTTCCCAGAATCTCAGAATGTGACCCCATTTGGAATAAGGGTCACTGCAGATATTAGAATTAGTTAAGATGAGGCAATACTGGAGTAGGGTGGGTCCTAAAGCCAGTATGATTTAATCCAACATGTCACAGAGACACAGAGAGGGAAGATGGCAATGTGATGGCAGAGATTGGAGTGATGGGTCTACAAGCAAAGTAATGCCAGGAATTGCTGACAACCACCAGAAGCTAGGAGAGGCACAGAACAGATTCTCCCTCTGAGCCTCCAAGAAGGAACCAACCCTGACACCTTTCAGACTTCAAGCTTCCAGACCTGCAAGAGAATAAATTTGTCTTGTTTTAAGCCACGGCCTTGTGGTATTTTTGTTACATCAGACCTAGGAAACTAATACAACTTCATAAATGGAAAATTTACATTTCCAGTCATATTGTGGCCTTCTCTAGCACCCAGAACCACATATTCAAAATGTCCCAAAGCAAATATCATCTTTCCAACCAAACCAACTATTGCTAACGTCCTAGTTTGTAAGTGATAGCACCATCCTCTAGGCTTACCACCTCACGATCATTTCAGACTCCACCTTCTTCACCTCCAGGGTCCAAGTGATTGCCAATTCTATATACTCTATCTCCAAAACATTATTTGACTGTCTTCCTTCCATCCTCAAGGGCATCATTACCTTGCTGCCAGACCACACTCAGGGCCCTCTTCACACCTCCCATCTCTCCTAGCAACCTGATAGTAGTTTTAATTCCTTATTATGATCAAAAACATATAGCTACCTACAGATAAATCTCATCTCCTCAGCCTTCCATTCATGTCCTGAAAACTGGTCTGAACTGTTAACCAGTTAGGTTAACACCTAGTAACCATTCTTCTTAACACGTGCCACAGTAAAACATTGGTTTTTATACCCTAAGAAAATTACAAAAATTTACTACACTGAACCCAGCCATTACAACAAAGCACCTCTGTAATATTATTGTCCTATTACACAGCTTCTGAGCTGACACTTGGCTATAATCCAAACACGTGTTGAGGGAGTCAGCAACAGTATTAGAAAAAGGAACAGAGGCGGCAAGCGGAAGCCAGATCTCAAAAATATCCTGGTTGTGCTCCACAAGCAGGTCTATGTTTTGCTTGATGGCATGAGCCTCTAAAATAAACCTACTAACTCCCCCTGCTCTGTCTCTTGGCTTTCCAAGCAAGCTTCCGCTGATTATGGGTCTTCCTCTCACGGAGTTTGACCAAAAACAGAAAACATGATGATTTGATAATTACATTGTTCAATTATTTGTCTCTTTTAAACGGGGCTTTAGGCCCAGACTCACATTAACCAATCACCCATGGAACCAAATTGTGAGCTTAATCAAGCAAAAGGCCAAATCTTGAATTATGGAGATCAAAGTACAACCAGCCTGTGGAGAATCATGTGAATAACAGGGCCCTGACCAGGCATCTCCCTCTAAAGGCACGCTTTTTTCATAAGCAGCACTAATAAGTACATCATGAATAAATACTGCACCTGTGTCACAGAAGCTTCACAATGAGTGTTTCTACCATAAAATGGCATTTATAAACAGAGGAGTGCACCACTGTTCCAAGGTGCATATAAAACACAAATCAAAAACTAAATTCTTACAAGTTTAAATATATATTTAAATTAATGTAACATGAATTTAACTTAGAATCTAAGGGAAGAAAACAATTATTCACAAGTTAAGTACCCACACTGACTTCAAAAATTCTCTAGTCGTGAACATTTTCAAAATAAAGGGTCAGACTTGTTTCTGACCCTTGTTATTTGGCTCACTTATACTCCAAGAATAACAGAATCAAATCTATAGGAGCAATTGTTATCCTGTGGTCTGAAAAGTTAACTGGTTAGGTTAATGCTTATTCACTGCTCCTCCTTAATATAACCCACAGCATTATTAGAGTAAGCAATCAGCCCTTTAATTCAAACTAGGGCCCAGTGTTCTACAACTCTTCTTCAAAGTATTATCATAATCCAAACTAACCCACAAAAGTCGACAAAATCATCTGTATCATACTCATTCACTTTTACTGACAATTGTTACACGACTCTCTAAAGGGTTGACAATCCTGGAGACTAGTTCTGTGGGAGTTTTTACAGGCTTTTCTAGTTATTAGCATTAAAACAAGTAAAACTTATTTACATACAATTAACTTTTGTAGGTTTCCTCCTTACCCACTATCACTGAGTCAGATCCCACTACATTTGCTAAATTTGAGAAGGGGTAAAATACAAGAATAAAAAAAAAGGGTAAGGAGGGAACAGTGGTGGGCACGGGGAAGGAGATCACCACAACCCAACACGGAGGGTAGATTACATCACTCCTATCACAGAGAAAAGAGTAGAGCTCTTCTGGATTCACAAGGTAAAGCCACCGACGAGTGTGCAGACTAAGTGGCCCATGTACCAAAGGGAAGCAGTCAGCCTCCCAATGAAATTTAATGAAAAGGATGTTGTTCTCACCAGCCAGTCACTCCACCCATTACAATCTGGGTGGCTACTGAGTATTTTTCTACCATAGGTCCGGAACTGTGGCCAAACACTCGATTCCACCAATGGTGTCTTCTTGCATACTCAGTTAAATCCAGTACTTCGTAAGAATCGTCATCACTTTCATATTCTTCAAAATACAAAATGTTAAAAATAAATTTTGGGTCAACCAAAAGTCATAAATGTCCTATACATGTTTTATCTGTTACAGCTGACTTTACTTTTGGCCTATGATTAGAAATGCCCAAATGGAAATATCAGGGTTTCTTAAACTCAATCCCTCCGACTAGGGCCTCAAAAGTAAGGGGCCTAGCATCTCCTTTCCAAAGGCCCAAGGGCCACCGCCAGGTCAGAGTTACAAAGCAGTGAGGGGCCACCCCCCACCTCCAAATCTCAGCAAGGTCAAGTCAGAGCGTCACAGCATGAAGGGTCACCCCCAAATCTCAGTAGATTCAGCGCCAGAGTTAGGTCCATTTTCATCAGTGGGATAAAGAGGGGGGTCCTCCTCTGATAGAACCGGTTAGGGGATCGCCAAGAAACTACTTAAGAGTCAATACTAAAAGCACGTTTGAAGATGGAAATGAGGGGCCAGAGATGAAAGTAAGGTAGAAGGAGGGGATGTGCTGGGGCGTGCGTCGGCCTTCGCCTGCGCTCTGCCGAGGGGGTAGGGAGAATCTAGTGTGCAGGGGGTGCCTCAAAAAGAAAGAGCCCCACGAACCCTGAAGCAGGGAAGGAAGAGGCACCCCGGGTGCAAGGTCGAGAGCTGAGCCGCGTCTCAGATACTACTTCGGGCCCCGACCGCTCACCTTGGGGTGGGGGGTTCCGGGTCGCCATGATACCGCCAGCGGCCTGCCTTGAAGGTGGTCCCCGCCCCTCCCTCCTCTCCCTAGTATTTAACAGCCGTTCTAGGCCCTGGTGGAAGTCTATGGTCTCTTTCCTCCTCCTCCTCCTCCTCCTCCTCCTTCTCCTCCCCTAGGCGCGTAATCCTATCTCCGTCTCCTCTCAGCGCAGGATCTTCTGCGCAAGCGCAAGGCTGGGGGCGGAGTGGGGAGCGGTCGGAGGGCAACCCCGCGAGGGCTTGGGGGAATTGTAGTCCCTTTCCCTCGTCAACCCCCGGCTTCCCACCCCATCCCCACCCCTCTTAGAATTTCCATAACTTAAATCTTTGTTATTTTTGTTTAAAGAGCCTCAGAGCGGGAGGGGGGAGTCACAAGGCGATATAAAGTGGAAACCAGCTTGGCATTTTGAACACTGTACCAGAATTTAAGCGCTGGAGAGAAAAATCCCTAAAGAGTTAAGAGTAAGTTTCAAACCACACTTTTAAGAGGCGAAGGCACCAACGGATGGAGAATTTTTCTAACGCACTGCTGCTGGGAACTGGAACTTTTTTTATGCGCTTCCTCTCCACACGTTTCCTGCCAGGAATCCGAGGTAGGTAGAGGAAGGCTTAGCTATTCAATGGGACATAATTTTTTAGCATCATTTTTATTACTTAAATCTGACAAGAGGGACAAGGGCAAGTCGTTCGCGCAGAAACCCCACGGGAGTCTGTAGAATGGAAAACCGTGTTGATCACCAAGCAGCTAACTCAGGTTCACATAAGCCAGTCCCCAAACTTGTGAACATTGCACCCACGTGTTCTGTACAATTAAAATACCCTCTCAGTATTCGTTTTAATGGAAAATCAAGGAATACTGGTATCGGTTGCATTACTTAAAATTCTGAGGTGCGTAGTTGCACTTGGCTTTTCAAAATCCTGGTGCTTTAAGCAAGGGCTGGCTCACCAAAGTTCTTCAGCCTGTGACCCCCAAAATGCAATTCTATGACTGGCTGGAAATGTTAGAGTTTGGGGACAGTTACTTTGTGTAAGATTCCACTTTTCAGAAACAATTTTAAGGGACATCAGATGTCCTCAATGAGACATTTTTCCAAAAGTTAATAGATTTGAGTTCATACATTCCTTCTTCCCCATTGTCCACCCACTCCTAATGAGGTGCTAACAAATAGAGAAATGGCAAGAGAGGGGCCACTGAAAGAAGAGAAAGGAAAATTACAAATTGGAAGAGCAAAATGGAGGGTTGACTAAGCCAGTGACATCCAAGTGACACTTTCATATACTTCTAGCAATTCTGCCAAGCCAACTACAGAAAGAAGCCACTTTCCTGTCAAGGCAATCAAATGGTTATGGAAAAATTAGGGAGAGAATAGAAAGAAAACATACCCTTGAGATGCTAAAGAATAGATCTTTATATCCAAAACATATCCAAAATATATCCAAAAATAAATTAAAAAGCAATCATTTTTCCAAAGGCCTTGAGGGATGAGAAGAAACTCTTTAATGCTCTTACCGTCCTTTTTACGGTGATATGCCCTTGCCATTACCTTAAGGAAGCTGATTATATATTTTTCTAGTAAGCATCTTTCTTTCCCAGTAGTGAAAAAAACTGTCATTTTGTTGGCTCAGTGACAGATGGTTTAATGTGTAAATTGTATACACAGCCTTGAAAAGGTGCTATGACTCTCCTGATGGGTCCAAGGGGGTGATTTCTCTTTTTAGTTCCCATTTTAAATAATGTTTTTTTTTTAGTCAGCACTAATAAACATTTTCATTGTGAATACTGATACCCTGTCTACAATTATACCAAAACATAATGCAGGTAGTCCCCAATTTTTCAATGGATAGTGTTCCAATAGTTTATGAGAACTTATATGAAACTGTGAACATTTTACTATTTAATCCGTAAAGAAGCTAAAATGAAACTATTCCTTCCTGATCTCCATCTTCCCTCATTATCTTCGGAAACCTCATTTGTTAAAAACAATGTAGTCAGAATTGGGAAAAACAAAAAGCAGACAAAACAACAGACAGAACACTTCACATTTCCTGGGCAATCTAATCTCCCAAATTGGCAACAACTGCCACTCCCTACAAGATGTCTGCATTTGAATGATTAACAAATTCAACAACTCCAAAACAACTCGACATTATCTGTCATTTATCCTGCACTGGCAACACCTAGGCTGCGGCATCCATCCTTTGGACCATTGCAGTGGCCTCTCAATTGGCTGCTGTCTGAATTACCTTGCTGCTCCCAATCCCACCCGATTCAATCTATTCTGTTACTACATCTTTCCCTCTAAAACCTGAATCTGACTATATCCTTTGTAGGGAACAAGGGCAGGCTGCCCCCAAATGTGCCACTTTTGCACAATGGATTACTTTGAATTGAAAAAACTAGAGAAAGGCAAGAGCATGAGGTATTCTCTCTGACCCCCTTCTGTCCCCTTCACCTTGAAACCAGAAAATATATGTCCCCTGTGAAAAGTGCCCTCCCTGCACCTGGAGCATAGAAGGCATCCTTATCAACCAGAGACAGGGAAATTAGAGCAGAGAAGGTTGCATAAACAAATCTAGTTACTTTTTTACTAATTTACTACCCCAGCACAAAGACCATTCGAATTCTTTACTAATGAAGCTTACAGAACCTAAATCTTCTTTGTCCTGTCAGTTCCTCACAGATGTATGTTTATCTAAAATGCATAAAGGCTGCACTTGTTCGTCATTTCATTGTGTTCTGTTATATCATTGGCCTCTGTCTTGCCAATGGGTTTCAGCTCCCAGCAAGTTCGCTATAGATGCAATGTGACCAAAGAAATGACAATAGAACGTTTCTTTGGGGTGAAAGGGTTTATTACCTGGCGTGTTCTCCCAGCAGTAGGTTGAACACTAGTGTCTCTGCTTCCACCCAGAGCCCTGGGCCAAGCTCTCTATATACTGCCATAATAACTTATTGCCTAAAGGTGTGGAAGTGGTAGCCTAGCAACAGGCCACTTACATCATCAGGTGGTTTAAGTTCAGTGAGGATCCTGGCCATAGGCACCCCAATTTACCCACACTCCACTCCTCCAGGATTCTTGCCTTACAATCTACATGCTCTCAATCTTCCACAATGGTCCCTGTGTGAGAAAGCTGCAGCACTGTAATCAGATTCCACAACAGCAAAAGAGGGTAACAATTTATAGTAACAAAAATTAAGATACAACAAGATTTTGATACAGGTAATAAAAATTATAATAATCCTCAAACCAGAGGAGGTTCCTAATAACAAAAATTATAATAATCCTCAAGCCAGAGGAAATTCCCAATCCACAAAGACCTGAGGGGCAATAAGACACATGTTTTAATGACACCAACATAGGCAATTCTTGTCCATCAGGTAGGATGCATGCAAGAAAGTGGTCCTCTGATAGGACTGTATCAGGAAGGGGGTCCCTTCCAGGTCTAGTATACCATACTTTTACTGCTTTCCCCATGGAGGTTACTGAAGGGTCTATATCTATATAGTGCTACTGGAGGTGCATACACTGGCCATAATGATAAAATAAAACTCGCGGTAAGATGCTCCTACCTTCTGGCCATTCAGGATATACTACTGTGACCTTTGGTGGCCACTCTGCTGTTATTCCAGGAATACACAGGAGGCCAGCATCTAGGCCTTATCCCCAAGGTACCAGAAGAGCCAGCCATCATAGGTCCATGTGTCAAAAGGTCCAAGGCCATGTCCACTCAATGGAGTCTCTGGGGTTCAGTGCAGTTCGTGCTGGCAGCAAGAGTTATTCTGGTGGCTGAACCTTGGCTTCAGTGATTCTTCCTTGGTTTCTACATGCAGTTGTATAGGGGAGGCAGCCATTTGGGTTAACATGTCTACGAGGTTCAGGGCTCCCTTTCATGGTCTCTCATTCAAACGCCGTAGCATGGTACATAGGCGGAATGACCATCCCTGCAGACTATTGGTATCTGACTTTAGTTTGGATTTTAACAAGCCATTGTGCCTCTCTATCATGCCTGCTGTGGTATGGCACATGAAACTTCCATTTGATTCCCAGCTGTCGCACCCATTCTTGCAGTTTATGTCCAGTAAAATGAGTGTCCTGATCACTCTCAATTACCTATGGTCAGCCATAGGCGGCTAAGAGATGCCCCAAGCCTCCTTTGGTCGTCTGCTGGTCTGCACAACAGGTAGGAAAAGCAACCAGAAGTCCAGTAGCTGTGTCCACACAAGTCATGGCATACTGATACACTTCCGACACAGCTAGAGGCCCAATATAGTCTCTCTGCCACCTGATGAGGGGTATAGACCCCTTAGCTATTGTCCCATGTTGCTGTGGAACTCAGTGTAAGTCCCTTTTGGAGCACACAACACACTCCTGCTGGGCTCTACTAACTTTTTCAAAGGTCAAAGGCAAGCCCCACCGACGTGCTACAGCCCACATTGTCTTATGCCCCGCATGCAACAGATGCTGATATAACCATTGGGCTACATCAGAGGCAGGCTTTCCTTCTAACCAACGTATCTGGGCCAATTTATCTGCTTCATCATTTCCTGGGGATGCCAGTGGCAAATGACCTGCATGGTATACTGAATTATTTTAGTCTGACCACAGGCCCATAAGTCTTCTCACAGTTGTTGCCCCCAAAGGGGTCGGTGAAACACCAGCCAGTTGACATGGTACCAGATTGGTAGCCACAGGGTCAAGCCCTGATAGACAGCCCAGCTGTCAGTGCAGACAACTATAGGGGAGGGCTCCTGGCTGATCACAAGCCACATGGCCTGCAACTCTGCCCATTGGCTACTCTTCCCCTCACCATCTTACATACATATTGTCTCAGTCTTAGGATGGAAAGCTATGGCCCTCCATTTTGGGGGCTTCCCATAGCTGGGGCCATCTGTGTACCATGCATCTTTGAGTATAGGGGCTTTTCCCTCCTGATAGGGACTCCCTGCTACTAATGGTTCAAAAGCAAGTTCTTCCTGATTTTCACTAATATATGTCACTGGCCCCAATAAGCATTGGAGTTCTTCACTCAGGGGGCTATGAGAGAGGGCACTGTGCTGCTGTAGGTAAGCAGCCCACTTGGCCAGTGTGGGCTTTTGTGCCACACTACTCCTTGGCTTTT